GCTTGTTCAAATTCATTTTTAAAGGGAATGGAGCTCACAAGAGAGGGGGCATGAAAGAGAATGTTAGAGAGAATATTTTGTTGCTGCTTTTGATGTAACAAGCTCTAGTAATTCACATGCAAAAGAAAAGGTTACACATATTTTTGTTTGGGGTTTTTTCTTGTGGGTTTTTTTTCTGTCTGGCGCATTTTTTTGTTTGTTTGTTTGTTTGTTTGTTGTTTTGGGGGGTTTTTTTGAGTGGAGGTTAATAATGTTAAGGCTTCCCTTTAGTGTTTGTGGTTTTTGTGCGCTCTGTAGTGGTCAAACCCTTCTATTCTTGGCGAAATGTGGCCTTCATCATGTTGGAGAGCCTTGAACAACAGCCCTGCAACAACCTGTCACAGATGCGATCGCACTCTCTCAGAAAAAAGAAAGCTCTAATTCATTTTCTCATCCAGGTCGAAAAGCCATCCTTGACACGCTCGTCGAAGGTCACATAAAGCATCCAGAGAGACAATGCACGGACCACTATCCGACCAGATCTTAATGAAGAAACAGGATCTCTGGAAAGGAAAAACTGACCCTTAGATTGATGGCGGTTGTCTGATGTCCTCTGGTTACTCTCTCCATTGATTTCAGATACAGCGCCCCTGTGATCAGTAATCGGCCTCTCCAACTCGGAGATCATTCATTTCGCCTTTTTGCAAGTTAGAACAGGGATTGCAACTCATAAAGAAACCATTCTCTCCATTAAATTCAACGCAATTTTTACGCAGTGCTGCTTCTATGTCCGCCTACAAGCTTTTTTTCTGTTTGCAGATTATTTCCTTTAGTCATGTTTAGATTCTTATCTGTTGCCTTCGGTGATTGGTCGTTCGTCTCTGCCAAAATACTTTTCTATTCTCTTATTTTCACTCTATTCTTTTCTATACATAAATGCTCTTTGGCTCCGGGTTGTTTAGCAAGCCTTTTACTCTGTAAATGTTCTGGAAATTTAGTTCAGCAGTTTGCTGCTGTTATCTTTGTTTTGTTTTTGTTTTTATTGTTAAAAGCTTGATAGAGAATGGAACATTTATGTACTCTTACAATTTACAGACACACTCATACAATTACTCACCAACAAACAAACAAACACTCACACACACACACACACACACAAACACACACACACACACACACACACACACACACACATTACCACACATTATGAGACACCCTAGCCCACCACCATAAACGCTTATGGACACAAGCTATTAGTTATTCTACATTCTGAACGGTATATAGGACACACATACACACACTCTCTCACACACACACACACA